GGGTGCCTACGTGCGCCGCGGGGAGCGTTGCGTGTTCGCGTCCCGCCCTCGGAAACTGCCCTCCGAGGAACCGCAAATTGGGGCAAAAACGGGCATAGTAGCGGCAGTCCCTGCGGAGGGGATTTGCAGTTGTAGGACACGTTTCCTGAAGGGAGCGAGGGCAGAACGTGAATTTTAAACCTGGGCAAACAGATGGTGTGGAAAACGCTGGAAGGCAGCCAAGATATCCACGTAACCAGTTGTTTCTCTCCCTCTCTCTTTGTAATATATGTTATTGCAGCATTTCTGCAAGTTATTTTTAAACAGAAAAAAAAAAGTTAAAAACTTTCATTTTAAAATGATCAAAATGAAGTATATTTTATTTACTTCTTCCTTCTCTTTGCTAATTTGGAGATCAACTGAAGATAACTTTATGCTACAGATTCAGTGAGGGATATCTTTTTTTTTTTTTTTCCCCAAAAGAAACAAAATATTGAGGAAAACTGTCAGCCAGTCTAAGTAACTTGAGCACTAGTCCTTGGCCTTGCGTGAGAATAGGTCTTTATCTTCAAAAGACTTTGTGAAAAAGCATAAAAACACTAGAGGGAAGTCCTGAGATTGAAATCTGATCAAGAATTTTATCAAAAAAAAAAAAAAAAAAAAAAGAGGAAGAACACTTTTTTTCAGCATTCTTAAAACTGATTTTGTCAGTCATATCTGCTGATTTTTTGTGCTCATATTGATGCATCATTTGTGAGTTTGTATAAAGTGAAAACAAAGAAGAGTGCATGCCCCATCTCAGACACAACATGTCCGATGTTTTAGTGTTTGTGCCTGATGTTTTAGGGTATTTTTTGCAGTCCTTGTTGCGTACTTTCCCTGTGTATGTTCTACAGCTATATATTGTCCTATCAAAAGCAAGAAATAAGTATTGCTTCAGCACTCTGCAACCTGGGTCAACTGTTAGTTGGGGTTTTCAGTTGTGTGCAGTACATTATTTTTCAAACATAAGTTTGAAAGTTATGTACATTGGGCCAGCTGATGAAGACCTTTAGTTGAACATAGGCTTCATGCAGTCGCTTACTTTTGACTTTTCTTTATATTTCAGTCTCCAAGCCTGCACCTTACTGGGAAGGAACAGCTGTCATCAACGGAGAGTTTAAAGAGCTAAAATTAACAGATTATGAAGGAAAATACCTTGTCTTCTTTTTCTATCCTCTTGACTTGTAAGTAAGACCACTGTAGACATATTAAACTGAGTGCCTCTGTATTTGACTCATAATTCACTTTTTTTTTTCCTGTATGTCTTTCCTCTTTCAGGTGAGGGTCTGGGCAAAGAGAAGGGGTTGATGGGAGAAAAGGCTTTTCTTGGTTTTGTGCATTAATAATTGTGGTCAAATTGTAACAAAAACAAAGTATTTGTCCTGATAAATTCTCCGTAACACATTCTGTGTTATGCTGTAAATCACTGCTGCAGACAGAAGTTAGTATCTCGTCTCTGCAGGTACTGTATGAGGGACATTGAGTGTCTTTTTCCACATCCTAAAAGTATTTAGCATTACCCTCCCTTATTTGGAGTGCAGTAATTTTGCAGTTTCAGTGAAGACACTTCTGCTTTCTACCAAGCAACCCCATTCTTTTCCTCAAATTGAGGAGGAGATTAAGCCGTACAGTGACCAAGATGCATAACTATCTTAATTGACTTATTAAGGGAATGGTTTGCCTCTTAGTTTCCTACTTTCTTACAGGTTAAAGGCCAAGGAATTGTGATCATCTTTACCATTCTCTCCCTTCTGTAGCAAAAGAAGGTCAAATTAAAATACTTAAAACAAGTAGACATGCACTGCACGAAAGAGTACAATATGTTCCACTGACTTGGCATAGCATGCTTAAATCCAGCCCTTCATATTTGGAAAGTCCAGGAGAAAGTAGTTGTGAATACACTTCCAGATCATAAGCTAATTGTAGGCTTATAATCTTCTTCAGCAGTAAACTGTAATGTGAGGATCTGCAGAGGGTCCCTTCCAACCTCAACCATTCTGTGATTCTTCAATTAGGGTAGAATACGAGATGGGAAAATTTGTCAATCAGCATTTTGATGTATATTTGAAGAGGCAATAAAAAAATAAAATCTGAAACAATTTCTGAGAAATCCACAACCTATTTCCCACTTCAAAAAAAAAAACTGCTTTGATGAAGCTAGTTATTAAGAAGGTAAACGGGGAACTTTCTGAATGTTTGAAGGAGTTTTTACTTTTTTTTTCTCTTTTATCTAGTACGTTTGTATGTCCAACCGAGATAATCGCCTTCAGTGACAGAATTGAAGAATTCAGAGCAATAAACACTGAAGTAGTAGCATGTTCCGTGGACTCAAAGTTCACTCACTTAGCATGGTATGTATTTTGTATTTTAAAAAAATATATTAATTCGTCCAACTTAGCTGAAGAATAGTATTGCCAGATTTATAGTGTACATAAATATAACTTAATGTATAAAATCATGATGCCATTGATAAAACTTTAAAAAAAAAGGTAAAAAAAATTAAACTCTAGTGTATGAAAATACCGTTATTTTTGAAGGTTGCTTAATATATATTGCTTGAAATATATCATGTCCCAATCCAAAATATTTCAAATACAAAAAAAAAAAGTACAGGTACATGGTTGCAAGTATCTGTAGTAATGTATTACACTGCCCCAGCTAATGGCATTCAGCTCCCCCGTGGGCAGAACAAAAAAAAACTAACCTTCAATAAATATTCCTGCCTCTGCTGTTCTAGTTTATGGCTTGGTTTTCTGTAGAGGATATAAAAATAAAAAATACTACTATATCTCTCTCTCCTTTCAAAGGATCAATACTCCTCGAAAACAAGGAGGGCTTGGACCAATGAAGATTCCACTTCTGTCGGATTTGACCCATCAGATTTCAAAGGACTATGGCGTGTATCTGGAAGATCAAGGGCATACACTTAGGTATTGCACTTTTTCAGTTCATTTTGCTCTGTTGGAGTAGGACATCTTACTACACAGTTAAAGAAATATTTGAAATTATGCTACCCATATACATTATTAGAGTGGCATTTTTTTTCTGTGAAATTGAAGACACATCCCCTGATCTTGTTTCATGCTGTATTAGCAATCTGCAGCTAACTTGCAGCGTGTACCTACAAAAGATTTTTCCTTCTCATTTGCACAATTCAAACTGTTCCGGCAGCCCAGTACACCAACGATTTGTTACCACTGCCCAAATAATTTGCATTAAATAATGTTCATGTGAAGCCTTCCTTTAATACTTTGAAATACTTGTTAATATGCATGGAATCATAGTAGTCCCACACAGATGCAGAAATACTCCTTTGCTAATGTGCTGAGCAACACGACAGAAAGTGGTATTTTTGTAAAGCAAGAGCACTTTTTACCTGGGCATTGGTGCTCGGGGACAAGATAAATGCTGAAGAGCCCACGAAGAGCCACAGAGAGCCTGAACAAGGGCGGAGGTGGCGCTGAGGCTGGGAGACTCGGCAGCTCCATAGTGAGAATTCCCCAGGGCTGCCCTGATTCAGGGACCTCCCAAGGTCCAAGAGAGCTGTACGAACGGCCCACTTCTTTCCTAAATTTTACTGGTTGGTTTTTGGAACTCTGTAACTGTCTTACCTTCTGCCACACCCTGAAGTGTAGCTTTATCTTTGCAAAGATGTGTCTCCTCCTCTGTTTTTAATTATTCCTCAGCTCATTTCATTTGATGCTACCCATAAGTAGCATTGTAAGGCTGTGTGTATTGTACATTATTTGCAGAGATCAAATTCCTCCCATCCAGCAGACACAAAACAGCGCGTGAACACTGCAGTGTAACTACGTCTGTTTTCTAAAAGGAGAAATTCATGTGTTTTCACAGAGGCCTTTTCATTATTGACAATAAGAGGATCCTTCGGCAGATCACAATGAACGACCTTCCAGTTGGGAGATCAGTGGATGAAACACTTCGTTTAGTGCAAGCATTTCAATACACAGACAAACATGGAGAAGGTGCTCTTTAAAATATCTTTTAAATGAAAATTGCTTAGACTGGAAGGTGCATTTGTAGCTTTTTGCAAGCAAGGTACTCGATAACTCAGTATCATCAGAGAGTAGAATGGGGAAGGATCTGAAGTGTTTTGATTGTCCTGCTTCAGGCTTTTGTGAGCCTCCTTCCTCCCTAGGTTGTCTCTGTGTAGTAATTACACAGGAATTCACTTCTCACCGCTGTGAGAATGCAGAGCATGAAGCAGCTCTCAGGCCAAATTGAGGCATGTGTGTGTTTTTATATATGTGTGTGTGTGTGTATATATTATTTATAATATATATGTAAAAATCATTCCACAAGCAGAAGTCTGCACAACATATGATATACTGAAGAACTAGTCCTGATATTTCAGTGTATTTTGGTAGACTAGAATTGAGAGGTACCACATGGCAGTCCTTGTCCCATGTTATTTATCGATGATGATCTGTAATAAATAATTGGAAGTGCTTCATGTCAAGGAGCACCTGGAGACTGTGAAGGTTAGATCACCAGTTGACAGGCACTCCAGGGTGATCTTTCCCTGACAAAGTGTCACGGACTTCAGGTCATTATTTTCTCTCAGATTGGGGCTCAGAGTGAGGATTTATTCCCCACCCCATTCAGCCACAGGGTGAACTTTTTACGTACACTTTAAATGGTGAACTTAAACACATTATTTAAATATACTTATTTTAAAATTCAGATATTCAGCAGTTTAATTTTCATTTCAGCTCAATTTCACTTGGCATTTAAAAGCATTTTTATCTGGAGAAGTATAACTGCAGTTTACCTATGAACAGAAAGGTTACCAATTGTTATGTTTTGGAACAGTGGGAACTTTGTGGGAACTTTGAGCTGATTTCTTGCTTAACAGGCTTGCCCTTGCATTGGTTTTAAAACAAGCCAGGTCTTGATGTTGTTCACCTGTATTTTATCATGAAACTTGTCAAGAATAGGTAAGAGCAGCAAGAATAGGTGTTTATTCTCAGATATTATTTTGGCAATGTTTTGTCTAGGAGAGCATGAGAATTAAACCAAGCTACAAACACCCATCCAGGGATAAGCAGCTTTCAGTTAATGGGAGTGGCAGATGGTGCTAACTGTGAATGTGTCACTGACACCATCGATTTACTTAAAAAATGAATATTTAGTAGTTGCAGATATTTACAAGTGATGGTTCTGTGCTGTTTTACTTCCAGAAAGAGTAATATTAAAGGCCCACCCCACCCGCAAAAAAAAGTGAAAATAATTACTTTTACTAGCTTCATTGTCTTTCTTCTCTCCGCAGTTTGCCCTGCTGGCTGGAAACCTGGCAGTGAAACAGTAAGTCACAATTTATAATTAAATCCCGACACTACTAGAAAACACCTAGCAACCATTTTCATTAAAGCAAAACACAAAATTGTTGCAGCATTCAGTGAGATGATAGGAAGGCTGAGTGATGGTCCTTTTTATTAGGAGTGTTTCAGGTATTAGTAACCTCAGAGCCTTTGGGTAATTACCTGTTTCATATAAAATAACAGAAGTTATGGATCAGCCTCAGAGTTTTCACATTCTGCTAATCACATGTGAAGAGCCCTTGACCACAGATGGCTGTGGTCACTGCTCGATGGGAAGTTAGTTTATACACGTGCAAGATGGAAGGACAGGGCCAGGTGCTGTTGCCTCAGTAGCTCCAATCCTACCCCTTTAAAGTGCTGAAGTAAAGGCATAAGCTACTTCTCTGTAGGAAAAAAATGTAGTTCCAACAGACTTGTTTGAGGATGCTTTGACCTTGGTAGTCCTGCCGCCTTCTAAACATGTTTGATTTGATTAGATCAAGCCAGAGGAAGCCATGAGAGTGTGGTGGCCAAGGGAAGAACTGTAAGTAGATTCTAAAGCACTAGATTGCCACTGTTAACTTGTACCTTACTTTTGGGGTAGGCAACGTGGAGCTACGTGCCTTGGGGTGTATGGACTCTTCCTTTGGTACCCTGCACTCTCGCTTCCACTGCCTGCACCCTTCTGCTCTCAGGCACCTACAGTGGGAAAGAGCAGCCTAGGGTCAGGGCGGCTGGCAAGTAGCCTCAGGTGGTGGGGGTGGGTTGGCCTGAACACCCCACTTGGCAACGTGCTGTTGGCTGATTTTACAGTACAGAGGTAGCTGTGTGATTGTGTTTTCAGACTAACCTTTTCTTTTTCTTTCTTTCACAGATAATTCCTGATCCCGCTGGGAAGCTGAAGTATTTCGATAAGCTAAACTGAGGCTTACTTCTGTTGAATTCCATAGGTCACGTTCAGCTTGATTTTTGACAATAAAATTTCATTAATTTTGTTACTTTCTTGTATTTGACTAATGCCTAACCACAGTGGACCCCTTTAGCTCTAATTGTTTAAAGATGAGCTTGACTAGCTCCTTAGTTATAGGATAGTTTCATGAAATACATTTAACCATGTTTACCCAGCCAGTGTTGCTTAGATGCTCGTTTTTCCCAAAATGTCCTTTCCTTGGCATCTGCAGCTTAGATTCCTAAGTTTTGCTACTGCTAGACTGCTTCATTTCTGTAAACTCTTGTCTGCTTGGTCACATCCTGGGAGCTACAGCTGGCAAACAGCAACTTGGTTATGGTTCACTAGGACTACTAGGAGTAGCCTGCAGCCAAATGTGCACTTATGGCCACTGAATTAAATTTCTAGTTTGTCTGAAGTTGGAAAACAGCTACTTGTTTAAGCTATTAACATAGCTACACTACCTTAACTGGTACCACTGCATGAGGAAAGACAACTGTGTCAGTTCCTGTAATTCAAGAGTTGGAAGAGTTGAGCCACTGACTTTTTTCCTCATGTATTTGTAGTTAACATCCTGATGAGTTCCCTTAGGAAAGCTTAGGAAAGAAAAGACTCAATGAAAAATATTGTCCACAGTTGGCAAAGATAAATACAGTTTTCAATTTGCCAGTTGAAGATAATTCAGATTCATAGTGAAAATGAAACACTGGGGCAGCAATAGAAGTAAACTTGCCTGTTCTATATGCACGTTACTAGCAGTTGCCTGTTGCTTGAATTAGTGGTTTCTATGGTGGTGGTAAAATACCTGGATCCATTTTAGGCACAGGTGTAGGATCAGCATGTTCAAATAAGCTCCAGCAGGGCGAAAACTAAAAGCCTTTAAACGCTGTGTCAGCAAATAGAAGTGAGTGTCACCTAAAGAAAAGAGCACCCACGAGCAAGTCTCATTTAAGTTGCTTCTCAAGAGCCTGGCCTGGGGATATTTACAGACCTCTCTCAAGTGCACGGAGGTCAGATGCAGGAATCTGCCATTTTGAGCTTGTCTTTTCAAACACCAAAAGACCAGATTTTCAGAGCTCCAACTTCTCCCCAAGTTAATGTAAGCTCTCCTCTGAGCCCGGACTAAAGGCTTCTCCACCACACACGGACCATTTGGATCTTAACATTTCCTCAGCAAAGAGGCTCCTGAACACGTGTTGGGCTGGCCACGCTGGCGGTGACTAACCACCAAGCAAATCCCTGCTAGGAGTGAGCCCGACGGACGCTTGGTCCCAGCTGTAGATGAAAAATTGTATGAAGGGGTCCGGGGAGCGACCCCCCCCTCCAAGCACAGAGCGGTCCCAGGGAGCGACCCCCCAACGTTGCCACCCTACCCGGCCGTGCCGGCAAAGGGTGCCCGAGCCGCGGGCTCCTGCGCCAGGGAACCGCTGCCGCCTCAGGCTGCGCCGCAGCCAGAGCCCGCGCCCTGACCCCGCTGGGGGCAGAGCCCAGCCGAGAGGCAGCTCCCCTCCAGCAGCACCCACGGCCGGAGGCGGCCGGGCCCCTCCACCACCCGGGCAGGCCCAAAAGCACCCAGCAGCCCCCAGGCCGGCAGACACAGCGGGGACCGGGCAGGGGCACGGAGGAAGCCGGGCGGGCGCCCCGCTCGCCTCCCACGGCACACGGGGAGCGTTGCGGCCTTCAGGCGCACGGCCCCGCACGGAGCCAGCAGCAGGGCAAGCCACAGCAGGCAAAGGCCCCACGCTCCTCACCCAAGCCTGGCTGACTGCTTCGATCACAACCACCCTCTTCCCCTTCGGAAATCCCCGCCAACACTTCCACAAAACAGGAGTACCTACTGTCTGCTCTTGCGAGCTGTGCCCTAGCCCAAGCTGAAACTGTGTCTCACCCACCCAGTTCAAAATCTGATCAGAGGAGGAGCAGCAGTCAAGGCTGGTCACCAACAGGTACTGACAAAGACCGAAGAGAACACCCAGGAAAACCACTGGATCATGCAGGGATTTTACACCTCCTGCGCTGGCCAGTGCTGCCACGGCTCCAGCAGCTCCCTTCCCGCAGTGTTCAGCAGCGCTTCCGAGCCGCAAAGGAATCACGACCATGCCAGGAGGGATTATGAAAAGTTGTTACAGTATTTTTATTAAGTCATTTTTAATCATTTTATTTCTGACACAGAAAAACTGTGACGGTTACTTCCCACTACAGAGCCACATGCAGGTATGTTAGCTAAAACCAAAAATATTTACTACTAATCCACTTAGCTTTGCATGGTAATGGTTAGTCACTCTATAGCAGCGAGAGGTTGGTCATTAAGTGGCAATATAAGCCTAAAATAAAATATTTAACCTGGTAGTTATTATTTCTGAATGTGAAGCTTCTTAAGAAAACCAAACTTGATATCACTCATGAAGGCACACAGAGAAGTTCACAAATAACATTCCTCAAACACGGACAGCCTTACCCCGTACTCAGAGAGGGAGCCAGCTTGGAGTAACCTTCCAAGATCAAAAGTACATGAACAGAGATTCTATATATTTCTTTTATTTCTATACATAGTTTACATCATCTTTTTTTATATATATATATGGATATGTATACACACACATATTCTGTAGGGCTGTATATACATTTCTGCAGTAAACTGTGTTTGTTACACATTGAGATATCATGAACTCTGAAAATACACGTCCTTCAAAGAGCTCCATTTGCTGAATTCACTTTCTTCCCTGTGTCCAGGGAGTTCCCTCACGCTTTCCTCCCCGCTGTGTTATCTCTTTTCCTCCTCTCCAGCCACTTTCCAACAGGTAACTTTGACTTTATCAATTATGATAAATTCATCTTTAAAGATAACTGAAAATGAGCAGAGGAAGAATTCACTACTCGCTTAACTTCTGTTATGGAGAAGTGAGCCATGAAGGGCCACTGGATCAATGCTAAAAAAATGTGAGAATCAGAAATAACAGGCAATTCCGAAACAGATCTCTCAACTTCTGACTTTGTGCACCCCACAGTGATGCACACAGCAAGGGTACAAGCAGCAGGGCTAGAATGTGGGTTATTTATTTGTGTGACCAGTGAGCCCTGCTCAACTTCCAAAGAGTTTTAAAGCATGAAGAGGAGGAGAACACTCACAAAACGCATAGCTAGTTTCAAAACCATTAAAGGACAAGGCGGCCAGATCAAGCAGCTGCACGAGCAGCGGTGTGTGCCTCAAGGGAGGTGCTCGACACGGGGCAGCCGCCCTCGCTGCGGCGCCGCGGCCCTGCCAGCCCCCGGCCGCCCCTGCCCTGCGCGCCAGAGGAAGCTGCCCCTCCTCATCCTCCACTTCTCCAACCTTCCTGCTCTGAAACAACATCTCACCCAGGGCTTTGTTTCATCAGCCTGTTCCGGGCAGCCTGGCTGGGTCGCCCCACACGAACCCGCTGCCTCCCCGTTTGGCAGATGTGACGCACACAAGGGGCAGCCGAGTTTACTCTCGGGCACTGTAAGACGTGGCGCTCCCTGCACTAACCCCACCGAGCCCTGCTACTGCCGGTTGGGGGTCCTCATTTCACAGAAGTTTTGACCTGTAGGTATCAGACAACCTATTTTGTGACTGTCCTTCAGGGATAAACTTGCTGTTTCGATAAACCTAAATAATCTACATTAAAATTTAGATTATTTAGAGAGAAACCTCTAAAGCAGAGCAATACTCACTCCATCGGAGTCCTGCCCTACACAGAGGTGGGAACAACCTTCTCTCACCGTGCAGCAGCTCACCTGGGAGCTGCTCAACACATTCTCTGGGCCCCTAACTCCTGCATTTATCAAATACGACCATTTCCATTTTAGCAGCATTGTCCTTTCTCCAATTCCAACCTCAATTAACCCATCTCCCAATCTCAATCAGACAGCCTATCAGGAATAACTCATTCAGGAACGTGCTTGCAGTTATAGCAACAAAGACACAACTCCCCCCGACACACATCTTTTACAAGAGGCTAGCAGCTCTCTCCCAATGCAGAACAGCCCATCTGGCCATTTTCTCTCTTTACATAACCCAGCCTCTCCCCCGGGAACAGAAAAGCCTCCAAAACAGAGGCTGCAACAACCCTGTAAAATCCCAGCTGGTGGAAAACACCTGCTTGTCTATGCACCCACTCGTATTGTGGGGGCACTCCAGCAACACCTGAGCTGCTGCTGCCGTCCATATACTTGTGCCTTTGTTAAAACAAGATCCTGAACCCAAGTGACACACTGATGTAGGTCAACACGGCTTCATCTACGTTTATCCACTGCTCTTCTGACAGAACTTCTACCCTTCAGAGAAACCCAGAGGGACTATCAAGGGAAATAAGGCAGATGGTGACAAGATGGCAAGGAGATCTCTAAAAGTAGACAGGCAGAAGCTCTTTAAAGATTGAGATGATTTTTTTTCACTTTTTTCCCTAAAAATAACCTGCATCAAGGGTTCAAATAAAAATTAAAATAAAAAAGAAGCTAGTAGCAGAGACAAAGAAACCCCTTATAGGCAAGTACATAAACAGTGCTAGAAGAGGCCTCTTTTTTTTTGGCAGCTGTCTGCTGGTCATCGCCGGCGCCTGATCCCGTTCAGAGCAGGCAGCCTCTCAGATCTCTCTCAGGGTTGCAGTGAAGTGTCGCTTCCCATCCAAATACAACATGGACTCTGAAAGAACGTGCGCCGGAGAGGGAACGTACTGTTAATTTGGGAGCAATAACGGGCAGCTACACAGAGCAGCAGTATTACAGAGCAATCCAAAATGCACCTGCCATCTAAGCACACAATACATGCACTTTGCCATGAAACGCTGGTAAATTAATAAAATATCAACAGTTCATCTATTAAAACGAACAATGTTTCCTTACGAGAAGAAAAAAAGTCTTTTTTTCCCCCACAGAGTCAAAATTAAAATTCTTTAGTTGGATGTACTTGCCTCCATATGTTTTGGGGACAATCCGTGGGACCTCCTTTTCCGACATAAATGTAAAATGGAAGATATTGGTTGTATGATGTTCTCTGGTATCTGCATCAAAAACCTCACTATGTACTCGAACCTGGATATAGTTTTTTTCTGTATAACAAACCTATAGGATTAGAATAGGACATCAAATTGGTAATTCACCATGGACACTGGAAACCTGAAACAGGCTTTGTTTTACTGCTGAAAAGTCAGATTCTCTCATAAGGCACTGTTCATTATCAGTGATTAAGAGGAACAACATGAGGGCAAGTTTTTCTGCTCTTCAAAAATAAATCAACTCCTACCTGTGCAGAAAGCAGTAGCAAGGATCCAACTTCAACTGGTCTCTGAAACATGATGTCATCAACAGATACGATAAAAGGTCTGGAACCCCTGAGCAAGAAAAACAAAAATTTGCTCTCAAGAAAAGCTACGGTGCTCGGATGAACAGAAGCTGTTTCACTGCCCTCCTTTTAATGGGGGGATTTTAGAAAGTAAGTCTCAATTAAGCACAGGCCATAGGAACTGCTGCAGAACTATACCACTGCCCTAGACAAAAACAACTGGAGGAAGCTTCTATGCATACACGTACACACTCCTATAGGAGACACGACGGCATCACTAACTGTCTTATCTCATCTTTCTAGCAGGCTCTGTACTCGCTCACCATTAAATCACACACAGATCTCTGCTGGGTAATGACCTCAGTCGTATTTTCTAAGAAAAAGGCACTTGTCAGACGTTCAGAGTCCAATTCTCTTGTGTATATAGTGAGAAGATATCTGTTAGAATGTTTATTTTTATGTCTAGAAAGGAAACGCATCTTCAGAGGTCTATCTCAGTAGCTCGGAAAGACAAAACAAAAGGGATATATTTCCTGTCTTTGGATGTGATGTTTAAAAACTGTGCTCAAAGGAGCCAGCTACAAATCGCTCAGTTAAAAGCTCAAGACAGCTACAAATCTCTCAGTTTATAAGTGAGAGGTGCACAGCCTAAGCCCAGTACTGCTGTCCTGCCACATTCACTCAAGCATCTAGGTCTCTTCTAGCCAGACTTATATGGGTTAGCTTGGTTTTCTGACCTGTGAATGCATGAGCTATGGTCTGGATCATATAAATATTGCAAGGCTGCAACTCACCCACAGCTGCAGGCAGTTGCCCATCCCAGTTCAAAAGCCTTCCTCATGAGAAACCCCCCAAAGATCCTGTTGAAGATGTTCCGTTCCTATAGATAGAAACACCATCAGCACACTGCTGTAGAACACACATTCTGCCCCAAATATTGTGTTGAATTCAGCCTACCAGTCTGCACTTTTGTTCACTGGATTTAACAGAGCACCCAGCATCTGAATATACAGACAGTACTACTGAAAAATATATCCAGACGTCCAAATGGATTAAGCAAGTTCACAGATTTGTTTGACAATGTAAGATGAAATCTCAAAAATGCGTCATCAACCATATGGGCTGGGCATAAAGGCAGGTATTTCTTCACACAAAATGAAAAATATATAAAATAAAGCACTGAAAAATCTTCTATTTTTCAGTGTTAATCCATATAGATAATAATAAAATGGCAACAGAAAATCAGGTCTAAATAGGTAAGGAGAACAGAAGAATCTAGGCAAAAAGGATTCACTAGTCTTAAAAGACAATTCTTAATATCTGTTTTTGTAATTCATTAATATACTTCAATATAATATACCTGAGGGTGGCAAATCTGTAGGCTCTTCAGCTTCGCATCTTCCATCCACACTGAATTGGGTGGCAATATACGACTCCGGAAACTCACTGTCCTATGGAAGAGGCAATAAACTTAATAATTCACATTAGCAGAATTCAGCAAGTCAAAAATGTACACAGAGGAAAAGAAGGCACTAAAAAAATAAAAATGCTACCACTGAAAGCTACTCCAACAGACCTTGAAGCCTCACCTAAAGAGGTATTTGGATTTGTTACTCTAAACATATAGCCTGTGCTCTTACCTCTCAAGTATTTCTGCTAATACTCAAGCTTACGTGTACAGTCTCCGCTTGGGAAAGGTGCGTGAATGAAGACATGAGCTACATCCAAAAAGCCCACACTTACTTTTCCAGAAAACCCTTGCCTGTCTATTAGTCATAATATGAATTAAAAGCGCACAATAAGCTAACAGAGTACCTCGACATCAGAGGCAGACAGCTGGAAGTTTTCAGACCCTGGCAGAGCACAGACAAAATATATTTGCCAGTTCTAAAGGAAGGAGGCTAATACTTTGGTAAACAGACATGAAATATCAACTACATAATGTTAGCAGCTGAAGAAATTCTTAGTTATCCACACTGACATTATTAGGCATTGCTCTACCACCACTGGCACTGGAAGACTTCACAGAAATTTCAGCTGGAGAAGTATGTCAACCTTGGTCCTCCTCAGCACATGTTTCTAGGTGTTATATTTAAAACACATTGCAAGGTTGCCTGATCAAAACATGACCCTCACTTTTTTTCTTTTCTTTTCTAGATAGCACAGCAGAAAATCCTTATAAGATTTTAATATTTAAGTTTTAATATGACTCTGAGAAAGAGTTTCACTCGCTCCTCAGCTAAACACCAGCTTCAGAGCTTCTCTCTGAAGATTACTCCAAACAGCTTGCTCAGAAGCACGTTGTGCTAACAGGTCACTTTTATCATCCTTGCCCACCTAACACTTTGGGATGTCAGAAGGTACTTTTGAGAGGCATAAATGTCACATTAAATTGTGTATCTGTGCTCCAAGTGGAGCACCCAAGAATTTAGATACTGAAATGGGGAAACCAAATGTCCGCATATCTTCCACTGTGCAGCTCAAAAGGCAAGTTACTTTTCCCGCTCACAGGACTTCAGTCTCGCCACCCCTCGCCTTCTTGCCTTGGGTCCAGCGTATCAAGGAATATGTCATGAACAATGTTTCTTTCTTCTGCAGTGGGAGCCATTTTCAGTAGAGAGGCAGTGCTAAAATCAATCCTCTTCGTCTTGTTAACTAAACATTAGAAACAACAACAACAAAAATCCAGTCAGAGTCAAAAAAAAAATTCATTTGGCTGTCAGCATTTTAACCTGAACCATCTGTCTCCTTCCTTCTTTATTTTCCCAGAAGTTAAAGGATAAGGTTCACAGTCTCACAGCACATCTTTGAGACTTGGACTCAAACAGGAATTTGGCTCTAGAATTGACGATATCAATGAAAAAATAAGGCAGAAAGCCACCATTCCCCTCAGTGTGGGTAATGGAGATGATCCCTTAAACATATACTGTGATATCCACCCACCCCCCAACGGGGTAACTAACATACCTCTTCCAAGTACACCAAAACTGCCCTTGCCTGTCAGCTTAGCTAAAATTTTCCAAAAATGTGGTATCAAGCTTTCAAATTCTCTCTCTTTCATCTCCAGCCACATTGACATGAGATATAACAAAAAAAAAAAAAAATCTGATTTCAAATAAATTAGGAGCATCTATTAGTAGCAGAACTTTTCAAGTCTACTTTCCAGCTACTAAATTGAAATACTGCCAGGAAATAGGACATACCTTCCCCTTCCTTGAAGATCTTCTCCTCCTCAGGGGTCTCAGGAATCAGTGGATTAACAAATGCTGGTCTACGGATAGAAATGTTTTTTAAGTTACAAACTTTAGAAGACTCTGTCCTATAAATATTGCATTATAACATTTTTAGTTATATACACATTACAAGATGAAAACGGTCTTCAGGTATCTTAGAAATCAATTTCATTTCATAATGTGTCTGCTGTCAAATGAATCAACGCTAATTCTAAACAGTAAGATAAGAGACCAACCACTATCTAATATCACTAAGAAACAGTAACCACTGTTTAAGTAGCTGTGCTACTTAAAGAGCCCAAACTGTACCTATAAGCTGTACTGAACATCACTCAAGCAGAAAGGTATTTAGAAACATAGTAAATGAAGATGTGATTATCTAGAACAGACCAAAATAGCTATACAAAACTTCAACACCAAAACAGAATTCTTTCAGGAACAGAAAGAGCACAGTGCTTTAGGTAGCAAGTGTTCTTAAAATCTTTACACTCCCATGACAGCCTTACCCACAGCCAAAAGCTGTTTACCACGTGTCACACTTATCAAGGAGAATGATATGAGGCTGCCTGGAGTCCCAGTTCACAGGCTGCTATTACTGCACAGATGGACCCGCTCTAGCACCATCGTACAAAATTTGTCTCTTTCTGTTCAGAAGACAAGTACTTATTTTCAAATCCCATTCTTCCTGACACTTTCCACCAACTGTTTTTGTATCTTAGCAGTTCACAAGCAGCCCTGAAGCCTTACTCAGGTCACAGACAAGAAGCACTGCTTGCTGAGAAGAGCCTGCTCTCTTGCCTGCTCTGCCAGAACTTGGCTTGGCTCCTGCTTGGCTCCTGCTCCCTCTGCCCAGCCCAGGACACGGCAGCCCCAGCTCTTCTGCCCAGGCCCCAAGCTGCTGGGATGCACGCTCGGCTCAAAGCCAAACACCCACATTTCTGTAGCACCAACACAATCTCATTTGTCCTATACCTCTCTGCAAGGCCTTCACCTAACACAAACACCCTTCGTATGTGGATAGCAGTCTTCCAAAATGCAGCTGGCTTTCACCATCTGACTTGGAAGAACGGCAGTGAAGTTGGTATCTAGGGCATGGTTCCCGATGGAAATGCCCTGAGCAGCCCATTTGTAAAGTTAAATGAGAATTCTGTCTTGGAGATTTGCTTGGAGTTATCATTTGGTTTGCTGCATTAGTCAGTCTGCTAGCATAATTATATCAAATTGAATTCTTTTTCTGCAAAAAAAATGCTTCCTAATGCTTTGTGCTTCCTAAACACGGGTATAAGAAAAAATAATTTGATTTAAAGTATATTGTGAATGAACATGTTAACAGGACCAAAAAATATCTCATAAGCCTGAGGGAAACCATACTAATAACTGTTTTTATTACTATCAGGAGAAAATAATTATGTCAAGCAAAAACCCCTTCATTAAACACACGCCTCTTCATTAAATACAAGCAATTATTTAAACTAGTTAGAAACAGAATGTGGTTTATGGCTTTTGGCAAGCTATTTGCATGGAGGGAAGCCGATACTTAGTCGTGCTGGAGCCAGGCAAACCCAAACTGAAACTAAGCAGTTTGTGCCTTTAATGCCTACGCATTACAGAAAGTGAAAATTGAAAAATACAGTAATTACTTCTTGCAATTCTGTGAAAATACTTAACAATCCCATGTTAGTTACACAGGATGTTTCCGGCTGACAAGAGTCATTCTAACAACATCTACTCTCTTCTATGAAGATTAGAAGAAGTTTTCTATTAAATTTAAATCAAAGATTACTGCACCATTCAGCCTCAACCTTTCCATTCCTTAGGACAGAAAACCAATCAACTCTAACTAGTACTACAAAAGGCAGGTGAGTTTCTAGCCAAGTCATTAAATTCCATGTTCATCAGGCCAGTCATTCAAGCACAGGGATAAATCTAGTAAAGAAAAGGGTCAAATCCCAAGACTAGCACCAATTCTTTGTATCATTTAACTGCTGAATGCAATGCTCCAAAATTTGCCCCAGAAAGAGAAATTAGAGGGACGTTTGGCCAAGAGAAAAGGTCAGATATGTTATTTATCTGTAACTGATGCTACATAGTTTCTATACAAATATAGTAAGTTACCACTTTTGCCATTTTCATAACAGCAGGAGTCTGATATCTTTCTCTCCTACACATCACAGAGTGGTTGAGGTGGGAAGGACTCTCTAGAGACCATCTAGTCCAACCCCCTGCTCCAGCAGGGACACCCAGAGCACGGGGCACAGGGCGCCATCCAGGCGGGTTTGGAAGCTCTCCAGAGAAGGAGACTCCACAGGAAAAGACTACTGACGAAAGGTAAGCAAGCAATACTAAATACTAAATAAAGCTCCCAGATGGAAACTGCAGATGTTTTCCTTTAACCAGGGAAAACCCCGATGGTGCTCGTTCACACTGGGAGGTGCTAGATTACCGTTTGTTCTCTGGATCCCGGGCCACCATGACAAAGGTTGCATCTAACACAGGGCTGTAGTCACCACCGTGTAGCTAAAAGAGACAGGAAACAATTATATTCTCACACTCTAAAACTGTGCTCGTGCTTAGCAAACTATTCAGTGGACATCAGCCATGCAATCACACTGTAAATCTAAAACAAAGGAATGCAAATTAATTACTAGTTTCAGCTAGAAAAATCATCCTATTAATTCTAAAATAACTAACTTATCTTTATTCTGAGAAGTGTAACAGCTTCTAATTGTTGCTAATACAAATTGCCAGCACCAGGAGGAGTTCTGACAGCAAAGGTGTAACCTTATCTGCTGTGTTAGAGACTTCACCTCAGGAGACACACTGGATCATTAAATATTTATCTGAGTGCTTATCTAAATTGCAGCCAGTAATATTTAAGTAATTAAGTATACTTCAGTAGCATAAAGTCATACAGTACAATTAAACATTTACACTGTATTTGCATTATTCTAAATAAACAACAGGAAAACTAGCAACAAAACATCATCCTAGATCACCAGCACTAGACCCTCAGCACTAATCTTAGTCTTGAAACACGAGAGTTGTTTCAAGCCCTTCAAGATAGCTCTCCTGAAAAACGTAATTTAAGCTACTGGCACCATCATTTAGAACCCTTTCTGAAGCACCTCAGAGTATAAAGCGTGGCTGGATGCTTGGAGACTGAGAGAAGTCACAGGAACTAACCTGCAGCATGTGCATCTTCACTTCCATTGAGGTCCTCCCAACCCAGGAAACATTGCCAGTGAATTTGATGTCACAGTCTGGATATATGATCTTTTTGCACAGATCTGCAAGACAAAAATTACAGGTTACTGTCAATAGACAATCCAGTCTTTCTGTTTTAGATGCAACTGATCTAAGGCTTCTTTGTTTTCTGTGAGTGACAATACACACAAGGCAACCCAGAAAAAAAGGGCTCATTGCAAAGAACCACAGTCTAGAAGGAAGAGGAGGCAGTTCATTCCTCATATGCAGAGGAGGATGTAGACCACTGGTGGCAGATGGCTGGCAGACCCACAGAGATGCTCAGCTGAACACGCGCCACAAGCAAGGCCTAATTCCATCACAAGAAACACTGCTCAGTAATGCAGAGACTCACTTGCTAATACAACACTGAACACACAAGTGCTGGAAGGGTAAAACCTCATTGTTTTGAAACGACAGGAAACTTGAAATACCAAGAGAGTATCTACAAAGCCCTCTTCCCTCCTCACCCCATTCCAAAAAGGCCAGAGTAGCGATAAGCAAAAAAAATATACAAAGTGAACTAAAGAGGGAAGGAAAGAAGAAACCCTTAGTAAGAACCACGGAGCAGCAACAGCTGTGGAAAGACTGGGGACTCGGGCCAAGTCATAAAATCACTTCTGCTCATCAAAATGCCACTTACTGATTTTATCCACCAGGGCTGTAACGATCGATAAGGGAGACCTGGGCTGCGCTTCCTGCTTCGTGTGAGTGTAGCAAATGAGAACTGTGGAGAGATGGAAAAGGGAGCCAGCTTTCAGTTCTCCTGCATTTTACCAAACTGTTAGTAAGGCATCATCAAAGCCATCCTCAGGAAACGGGAGAGGTATGTGCTCAACACAAACTCAAACAACAGCCTATTCCACATTTTCATGGGTGTAATTCATGCAACTGCCATTAAAAAAAGTGATGCTGCAGCTGCCTAGGCTATTTGCCTATTTACTTACTACAGAGGGAAATTGTACCTCACCTCAACTAACTGCTCCTCTCCTCCCTTTCCCATATAGTCTCTTCCATTTATCCCTATTTGTCTCAGATCCTCCATTCCCCTTCAACCTCCTACTCTGCTTTTATGCAGGTTGGCCAAGGATACATGTTACCCGAGGACTGATTTTCAAATACTGACTCCTTTTCAGAGGTGCAGATTAGGTAAGATGTGATTTATCAGCATGAAAGCCTAGTCAGGCATTTATTACACTATAATTACTACTAGCCAAACCATTATTTAAATTAATTAGGTCTGCTCACAAAAGTACATCCAAGGAAACAAACACCTTAAAGTACTCAAAGTTTTGGGTTGTTTTTCAAGTGAAAAATTATCTGACTGAATTTGAAATAGCTCTCTATGCAATTTTCTCTGACTTAGAACTCAATACAAACTCAAGGTCTAGACACACTCCTCAATAAAATACCTTTATAGCTGCTTCTTTACAAAACTGGACAGAGGAAAGAAGCTGAAGCTATAAAGAACCATTTTGCATGGGGTTATTTCTTATCACCCTTCCTTTTCTTTCAGCACCTGCACCTCTCCCCTTCCCCCTGCTCAGAGAGAGCACTTCGGTGTGATCCTCTCTCTGGAGAAACATGGTACCCAAACACTAATCCCAAATACTACCCAAACTCAAATTGCCTGCATTATTCATGCAGGCATTTCCAGAGACAGACACTTACCTCCTAAACTGTCAAGGTCTTCAAGAATTCTTCCAAACCTGTAAGACAGGTTTTTCATCAATTAAATACCTACACTGATAATATGTGAAATTTGACATTTTTCTGTACATGTAACATATTTGTTCTATTACCTGACACTATTGTATACGTTCAGGTACTTCTCTCTTATTTCAGGTTGGCTCCCTAGAGGTAGGATAACTTCCAAGTAGCTATCTTTCATTCTCCTAGGAGGCAGATCCTCCTGCCGTTTTGCCAGTAAAGTATGAAGAGCCTTTCTTTCTTGCATTGCTTGTACATGATCCCTAATATGAGAAGAAAAATACCATTTAAGGCAGGACAACAAAACTGAAACCCTATCTAAAACACGCCACAGTGAAGATGACTACAGCGAAACAAAGACAAAAACAGCAAGACACAGCAATTGTGCCTTGAAAAGAAAATGAAAAGCACATAATGAATGAGCTTTGTCATGCCAGACTACTGTAGAGAAGGTTTTAAATAAAAGTTTTATTGTATGAGTGTTAAGCACATATTTCACACTAATGAGACAAACAAAATTTATCCAATCCTGAACAACAGCAAACTGTTTTCCCTTGAAAACAAAATAGTTTTAAAAAAAAGCCCTTTAACTACATACAATTTAACCTACAGGTTTTTAGGTACAATCACGTCCTTTGTAGCTTCTATACCCCAGATCCCCTTGCCAGTTTTAGAGGTCTGACTTCCAGCTTGCAATCCCTCCCAGGCAAACAAAGGAGACGTACACTGCTGATTAGTACGGGCCAAAGCCGTATCTCATCTGCTAGGACTCACCCCTGCAGATGACATTCCTCTTTACAGCATCAGTTCATACAGCTGACCAGCAAGCTAAAAGAAAGAGGAACTTACCTATTTCCCTCTCTTTCTACTACTACTACTCTTACTACTAAATTCTCTTACAACTAAGCAGTCATGGAAAGTAACCATGCAGCACTGGGGACTCTACCCTTTCAGAGGGTGCTTTTCCAGCACCAGTAAGCCCAGAGGGGTTGCAGCTTGAACAAGGCAGAGAGGGCCAACTATCCCCACCTCCTCGCAGTCTGCAGGCCTGGTCCCCTGCACACAGGTCTATGCCGTGTAACAACCCTGCCCACCATTCTCCGACCTCATCCTTGAAACTTCCCACCCTTAAAAGTGCAGCCTGACTGAAGACAGCAAATATTGGCTAATACGCCTAGAATCAACACCAAAGCATTAATAATCTGAGGGTTAGATGGTTAGATGTGCAGGAGTTGAGGTATAGAGCAAGAGAGCACGCCAGAGGATTACCCAGTTTCACGGACCAAGTGAAGGCATTCAGCACTACATAAGGAAACTTAATTTTAAACTTGTACTGGACATGCACCATCCACTCAGCAGCACAGGCTGCGCTACTGTGATTTGCGTGGCACTGCTTAGCAGAGCCACGTAAAAAGCAGTCTACAAGGAAATAATAGGAAGGAAACTTTTCATGAAAAATAAAATTTGTCTTAAAGTTTTCATTTTTAATGCATTCTGGATACTAGACATATTTTTAGACAACGATTTTTTTGGTTTGGGTTTTACTTCAGCAGAGAAGAGGTAACAATGGAATCGCATTTCCACACATTTATACTCCCTCTTTTCTGTTGGATAAATTTGGGCAGAATGTGAATAATCCATAATTAGATAACACAGAGGTTAGCACAAAATTTCAACGGTACTTCATTGTTTAAAAAAAATAAACAGAGCAACATAAATACAAAATATTGCCAAGTTCAGACAAGATGAAATGATAGCTCCCTACACCAGAGACATTTTTTTGAAGGTAAGACACTGTATAGGCATGGAATCAAATGTGATGCACCTCTACGCTCTCTCAATTTCTAAAGTCTTTTAGTGAAAGATTCAGGAGAAATCAGACAGAGATCAAACATAAATTTTGTCCAAATACATTAATTTTTTTAAAAAAAGATGAAAATCGAACTACATTGTGTTTTACCAGTCCCTTCCTGGCTCTTGTGGGGTCAACAGCAGAGCTCCTCTTCACTTTGGCATCATAGCACACTCTTCAATACACAGACATGTTGGGCTTAAGGCAATTACATTTTTCAAGAAATAAATACTTTCCAACACTTCACCTAGTGTTCACCTAATAACTGCTTCAGGTATTTGAGAAACCATATTACTTGTTTCTGAAATGGCCAAAACCCTTCCTAGCCTATGGTGAGGTCTAGCATAAATCACGCTATGAATCTGTCATCAAACTGGACCTGCGGTAAAAATTTACAGGTCTTCTTACACAGACCTCTGTGGGTGTTACTGCTAATGATTTCAGCACAGGCCAAACTACTCCACAACCTAGATCCAACAGCTTTATTTAGAAATATCACATATTTGCAGTAATATTCTATCTGTAGCAGTTTATCAGTAGGGGGGGAATACATCAGTAATCTCCAATTCAGTGGTTCCTCCACTGTATCAATTAAGGGGAATAGATTCATTCTTAACTATGCAAGTACAGGAACAGAGAACACAGAAGCAAATCATTCTTTTTAACACAAAATGCCACTAACCCTTACTGGACAAATCACAACTCCAAGTTTAATTTTGGCAAACCTAATGATCCATGGTATTCCTCTAAGCCGCACCTTTCCTACTGTCATAGTAGTTCAGGTCTGCTCATCCGGCCTTCGCAGCCCACATCTAGTTCCCACTTCAGACCCCAGTCAAGCTGTTCTTTTGGGTCCCTAGTCATCACGTGGTCCAAGGTCATTAAGGCACTAGCTGCTCCCTCTACACACAGCAATTCTTCGTCACTCCGTCCTGCAAGCGGGATCTCACAGTCCACCTGCCCAGCGTCTTCCAAACTTCCCACAGATCAGAGCGTCAGCCTCAAGCATGCCCAGCTATGGGCTCCCCAGCTTTACTTCTTCAGGGTAGCTGAAGCATACAGTGCTCTGCAAACAACTTCCAACACAATTATTCTGCATTTTATATAGTGTTTTTTTAATATACACACACACAGAAAAATGCATTCCTTAAAAGTAAATATATTTACTATATATACACACTATATTCACGCTGTGTGTTTGTGTGTATGCGCGCGTATAATACTGCTTTGGTGACCCCAGTTTTAGTCTCCTTGGCTATTACTGTGAGAGCATTGGAGGAGAAGAAATGGATGGAAAGACTGCACTTGACCCAAGTTTCCTACCTTCAGATGGCATTTCCATTCAAGCATTGCTCTTCTGCAGCCATTCCTGGCTGCAGAAAAGGCTTTTGGTTTTTTTTTCCATCAATTTTAGAGTGCCTGTCAACTGACCTACTGAAAATGTTAAGCCCCTTCATGTTTTGTTACTATGAGAAAAATCAGCTTCCCAGACTGAGGCACTTGCATGAGCATACCTATGGTCCTGGTCATACTGACCTAGTCAGAACGCCAGGACACATCAGACACCCCGTGCAAGCATGCAGATCTCTCTCCTCACTTCCTATCAGTGCACAAAGCGGGAAATAACAGGTCAGCAGAGACATCTTAAGAACATCAACGGTCAATAAAATAGCTATGGAACCAATCAAGCTGCAATACATAACTTCCCCAGACTGTTATACCGACCAACTCAGAACTGCTAATAGCCACAAGACTAGCTCCACCTTATGCAGCATAATGGAGGGGGAACAAAATAACCCAAAATGTGGACAACAGGAATTATACGTAAATTAAGCCACAAATAGGTTATAGTGAAGAAAAAAATGTCTGAGATGCTCCTGATTAGAGGGAATAGCGACTCAAGGCTGACAATTTTACACCGCCACATGGATGCTGCCAGGCCATGCATAACTCACCCTGCTTCATGCAGACCCTGTTTTGTCACCTAGGAATTCACTGTAGGATAAATCCACTACATGGATAATCCCCAGCAGATAAAGCAGCCTAATGTTTTTGGTCAGACTCTATAGCTCTTAAACTTCCATGATTTTAAAAGTTAATGCAAAAGAATCAAGAACATACATTTCCTTCCCTTGGTATTAAAGATGATTGAAGATGATTTCTTTCTCTTGGCATTAAACCTTTTGGTTGAGAAATGGCAGAAGTCTGTGGTACAGAAAGAATTCAAATCCTTTGGTTTGCATTATTTTTTAGCATTGGCCAGATGCTTTCTTTTCCCCTCCTGTTGACTAGTGAATGCTGTCAATCTCCACTGCCACAACCCTAAGTTCCTCTGGGTTTCACAAATAAAATAAAATACATTTAATGTACACTGTACCTCCAGTTGGTAGATGCTCCCACTATATCCCTCAATCTGCTTCGCACTGAAACAAACAAAAAAAAAAAAATCAAAGCAAATCAAGCTTAGTTGTAACTAAGTGGTAAACGTGAGTTCGCCTGGTGCAGAGAGACACAACCCTCATCCCAGAACAGGAAAATTAAGCAGTCATGCAATTATCAGCTTGAAAACAAAAGTTTGGCCAAATACATTGATGTTGTTAGTAGGCATATCGCAGTCATGGGTTGAGTAACACAATTTGCTAGTATATTGTGTACAGCCCAGACCAACAAAGAATGCATTTAGAGTCTTGTGTTAATGTGATGAAGTGCCTGCAGTGCCAATTAGCAACTGAAAAAAAAAAAAAAGAAAAAAAAATACAGCAGTTCAAGATCAGATTGAGGAATTTTGATGTGAAAATATTTCAGGATAAACACAAACAAACTGTGGGGATAACACAGATCTTAAAGTCACAAAAGGAAGATAAAAGGGAACAGCACAGCTGGGAGACAGGGACTGCTGAGAGCGCTTTTTAATTACTCCCACCCATGAAGAGCAGGTAATGGCAAGAATCTGGCTCTTGCCCACAAGGTTTCATATGGTTTCAAGAAATAAGATCTTAGCAGTGTTAGGACAGACCTGTACAATTGATTCCAGCACTGCCTTGCACTAGCACAATAAGTATCAGCCCTACACAAGATTTTCTTAATATTCAAGAATGTGCAGAAGCAATTATTCCACTCTTGCCTTGGACAGGGCTATCAAGTGTGCTAAGATCAGCCAAGCCTATCAGGCTGCTCCATCCCTATCAAGCAGGTGAACACAGGCCATTTACGAACGTCTGAAAACACGCAGCAATAGTAAATTCTTAAGCCCGAGACAGAAGAAAGTTTAGAATTGGATATCTTGCTTGCTTATGAAGATTTTTTTTTTTTTTGTCAAGGCTCAAATATTAGCAACACATCAAAGAAGGACTGTCAAAAGAAATCACAATGAAATAGAGGAGAGGCTGCTGCTGACCCTTTCCCCGTTTCGGTTATTAGATACACTCAGGCTCTGCCAACTCCAGCAAGCTGCTGGGGAGCACGGCACCTCACGAAGCCTGACCTCCAATGCACTACAGACTGGCAACGTTCCCCAGCAGATCCTCTCTGTCCCCAGCACAGTCACTTCAGCCCAAGAACTGTCAATCCTATTTACTACTCCCGATCTCAATGCCAGGCATACAAGGAAATGTTTGCCAGTCTTGGACCTTTTATTTTACAATAAAAGGTCTAAATGCAAAATAATTACTGAAATGTTGCCAAACTACATCTAGTCTATTCATAAATACAAATTCTCCCCATCCCCCCAGAAAAATGATACTCCCTTTCTACAGTTTCCTTATTTGACAGCAGAACTTCAAGTAACTAAGTTCAATACCTAATAAACTCTTTCGTCTTTCTTACATTAAAGCTACTATATGTCTTAGATGTACAAAATCACTACAGAAAATGGGTTTCCCTCTTATCACGTTACAGGATTTCACAGAACCTCCTGGAACACTACTGCCCTAATAACAGGACTTGCATCCACCTGCTCTAACCTGTGCAGTAACAGAGGACCTGAATGCAGCTGGACAAGCTAACTGCATCCTCCAAGATGTGTACCACCTTGGGCTGACGCCCCTGCACACAGTTTCAGGAAGACCACTAATACATATTATACCAACCGTTCTTGTCCAGACTTCAGTATAGAAGTTTGGAAGCCTTTTGGCACAGGCTTCAGCGAAAGGGGCAGATATCCACTGCTTCTGAATAGCATGTCCTTTTCTTTAGATGTCTACAGGGAAGCTAAATACTGCAGGAGTTAGTATGTAAGAGACTTTGCATCCCACAAGCCTCTTGTGTGACCCAGCATGCCATCAGGAAAGCCTGACCGAGATCTAGCACAGAATCACTACAAATAAGATCAGATCCTTCACTTGTCATGGCCAACAACTCTAACAAAGAGGCTTTAAGCAAGTTGACAGAGAAGAACAACAGGTTTTCATTTTTCACGAGTGCTAAAGTAAGGCAAGAGAATAGCAAGGTAAGTTTGGAGCTATAGCAAATGTTTAAGTATATACAGATTACCACAACACACCATTATTCACATGAATGGGTGAGTGTCCTGTGGAGTAGAAAGTATAGGTTAGATTAACAATACTACTGTAAAAGAAAGTAAATTGTTTTTATTATGGAGTAATGTATTAATCTGACAATTTTACTTGCATAAATTCCATTTAAGTACCTAACTTTAGCAAGCAGCTGTAAGCACCCTGTCCCTTTCTCCTTTCCAAGATGGAATCGGTGTCCTTGTGATTTCAAGTGTGATGCCCCGTGAGTTAGTCTTTCAAGTGAATTAGATCCTTCACACCTAATCGAAGTCATCTTTATTGCTCATCCACGTAGCTGCCCTGTATAGTAGCTGCCTCCTCTGTAATTCCAGCTAATTTCTCAAACACTGTGCTACCTTTTACTGTCTCTAACAAATATTACCCAATGCACATACTAATGACAAGATTTCTGAACCTAGAACTGCAAACACTTAACAGTACAAGTAATCCTAATACTTCAGACACAAATGGGAACCTTTAAGGAAGGAATAATTGGGAGCATTTTTTTCAGGAAGCAGGACAAGAGTTATTTCCAAGGAAACCACTAAAGTCTTGCCTAGTGTGCTTTTAGGAGAACCATGGAAGCAGCAAGTATTTTCACAGCTGGGACCCAAAGCTAGAAGGAATGGTGTGACAAGCCAATCAGCATTTGGTGTTTAGTGAAAACACGCATAGCAAATAAAAGAATGAAGAGCTTGTTCCTCAAGAGTTTGCACTGCATTCTTATTAGTTTTACAATCTTAGAAGAAGCTGTCAAATATTTACAGTTACCATAGCCCATAAAATAACAACATTCTTCAGTAGCAAACCAGAGTTACAGCCAGGATGGCTTCATGATTTCAGTACTTTGGTTGTCCTTCCAGTTGTTCCTTCCAGCATCCTTATAGAAGGTCCAAATAACATAGCTGGATAGCATTTGTAATTATGTAACATTTGGATAATATTTGTAATTAAGTAACACTCTGTTTATCTCTTTTAACTCTCAAATTATTATTTATTAATAATTATGGGAAAAAAAAATCCTCTAGCTACTCTTTTACTTGGGCTTACTTGGGATTACTTGGGGCTTCTATTTAGAGAACAAAAGGGAGAAACTGACATCAGAAACAAGCAGAACTTCATGAAGGAATTATTTGTATCTAAGTTTGGCCCCTCTCCTCCACTCCTTTTCTCAAGGCATAGGTGAAGAATGCCAGAAAACCTTTTAACAAGCTTTTGAAACAAGAATATTATGATTTATGACTATTAGAACGTTAAAATAGTATTTCAAAACAAAGTATTGTTGACAAGCACATTTTCACATGGCAGTAGTACCAATCTAATTAAAAGATTTTTCAATGTTTATGAAATAATATTGACACATTAAAATGCCATAGTTCTGTAAGGCTTTATTTGAACTCAGTTCCTCCATCTCTTGACCACAGTCTCCAGTCTTCTTAGTACCTGCCTGTACTGTGTCGACTTTCCAACCAGAGCTTCCTTAAGACTAAGTTCTTCCTCCAGTAAGAAATAAAAATAAAAATAAATAAAAAAGATTCTTCCAAGGTTAAAGATCCAGACTATCCCCTAAATCTGTAATTTCTATAATGTATGCATACTCGTTGCTATTGTTCTCAGAACTCATGCAACGAATTTCTGGTATTTCCAAAACATTTATACTATGACTTAACAGTCAAGGGTATGGCCATTTTGTAGTGTATCCATATCCATCAAGATGTATCCATCCATCAAAAGCTACCCTCTGAAACAGCAAACTTCCCAGCAGTATTTCTACATCTGCCAAACTACAGCCATTTACTTTACCTTCAGACATGTCAGGAAGAGGGAGGGAGCCACTGGTCCCAGAAGTCAGTGTCCTGGCCAGGACAGAAGAAAACTTCTTCATGGTGCACAACCTAAAGATACAGGGGAGGGATTTAGTGTCATGAAAACTACTGCCACGCAAATTAGGATTTATTTTTAATAGTACAGAGCGTTTCATAAATCCTATTCTTCATTTTCAGACTGCTTTTTATAATCAGGACCAAACCGATGGTTGAAGTCAGCTGATATTCAAACTGGATCTGTCTCTATCCTGAAAGAGGAGGGAAGAATGTTTCACCGGAGCTAACCTGCTCTTAGGCAACTATTCAGATACCCTGGGACAACAGCTTGGACTCAACAGCAGCTTTTACGCCATCCTAGCACAGACAGGATCCGTGTGCATCTAGCAAGGTATCCATGACTGTAAACACAAACAACCCCCCACACACTCGTCTGCTATATGTGGAGCTGGGAGACTAAGTGGGATATCACAAACGTCCCAACTGAGCCAGCCAGGATATTATTCTCCATGGTTATGCACTGTTGCAACTCAGAACTAGTCTAAAGAGCAGGACATAATCTGCTTAGCAGCTCAGCAAAAAGCAGCAACCATGAAACCTTTAGATACCATAATCCACCCAGCAATTCCCTAAACCAGTGAGCGGCAAGTAAGGCTCCCTGCGGACCAAACTGCGCTGACATAAACAACACACAGGTGGTCTGCAAGAGTAACAGCCCACACAGAAGCTCACACTATTATCCTAATAAGTAGTATGTGTTGCCTGCCCCTTAGTCTTTTGTGAAGAAGGTAGGAGTTTCTTCTGGGAAAGAAGGAAAAAAAAAAACAACAAAAAAGACATCCCCAGGCACCAGTAGAAAAGCAGGACCTTACACATATCTCCACCTACATCTTCCTTATGAATATATTTACACATACGTGTCATGTACATACAAGCTACCTCGGCCTGCAGCTACATCAGGATTACTTAAGACAGTGATAAACAAATACCCACACACCTTAACCATCTCAGAAGCTAACTAGAGATCCCACGAGTTGTAACTGTGAAACCTTTTTGTTATAGATAGGGCTTGCGGACCAAACACATCTCATAAGACTTAGAGCTTAGCCCAGCCTGCACTCCCATAGGGTCATAAAGGAAGCACACAAAAGTTAAGAATGCTTTCTCAACCTGAGCAGCCAACCAACTCCTTAAAAAAATAAAAAGTTGTTCCCTCCCCACACGGAGGGGAGAAAGACACAGAAGAAACACTGCATCGGCCAAAGGAGGGCCCGTGAGGGCACTGGTGCCTCCCAAACCTTCCTTCTTCTCATACCTGCCCAGTTATCACTCAGCTCCTAGTGGCTTCCCATTCACAAGGCCTGTTAAACACGTCAGGACAACCACTTAAGAAGCGTATTTCTAAAAAAAAAAAAACCAATGTTAACGAAAAAAATGCCGAATTGCGGCTCAGTGCTGTGATAGAAACCGTAGACTACATTCAGTATATACACATAGACATCTCCTGCCACCCCCGGAACTGCGTGGGGCCAGCGTGACGCCCCCCAAGCGAGTACAGCAGCACACGGTAAGGCGGGCGGCGGCCGCGGCGAGCGCCAGCCTGGCACCCGCCCCCGCGGGCCCGACCGCGCGCCAGCGACCGTTAGGCGGAGGAGGGGGGCGCGCAGCGACCGTTAGGCAGAGGAGGGGGGCGCGCGGCGGCCGTTAGGCAGAGGAGGGGGGCGCGCGGCGGCCGTTAGGCAGAGGAGGGGGGGAGCGCAGAGCCGCCGCCGCCTCCCCCTCCCTCCCCGCCGGCAGCGCGGGCGGCCTTACCGGGCGGCCAGCATGGCGCTCCCCGCCGCCGCCGCGCGGTCCTCCAGCACCATAGAGGCGCGGCCGCGCTCTATGGCCCGCGGCGCCTCCCCGCCGCTGCCGCCCGCCCCGCGTGCCGCCTGCGGCCGCCTCGCCCCGTAGGCGGGCGGGACGCGGCGCGGCTGCCCCGTCACTGCCGCCCGGAGCGGCTTCCTCGACGTGGCGCCCTGCACGAGCCGCCGCCGCGGCGGCCCTCAGCCGTTGGGCGAACCAACGGCCGCGCCACGCGGCCCGGGCCCTGCCTGCTGCGGGCATTATGTTTTATAATAAATATAAATAATATAAAAATAAATACTGTGGATTCCACCCCCCCCTTTTTTTTTCATGTTAGTTTGTTTTCACTTCCACTGAATTCCGAGGGGAAACGGGCTTAGCAACACCTGGGCACTTGCCAGCCTCCCTTCCCTTAACAGGAGGGGCAAAAGAAAGGAAGCAGGGCAGTGAATTCCAGCAGGTGCCCCTCAAATTCGTTTTCAAACTGCCCTTCCCATCCCAGCGGACACGATCCAGAAATGCCTGTGTAAACGCGTCCTCAGAAAATGTTCTCTCCTCCCTTCACACGTCTCTTGGTGGCACTGTTACAGAATGTAATCGAGAAAATGTGTATTTGCTCGGCCAGCACCAGAAGCATAGGCCAGGAGAGCACTTTCTTTGGATTCATGCAGTTTCCGTGCAGGAAGCATCAACAAGTGTCATTCAGTCAGAAACATTTACATTGTGAACTGGAAGGCAAAAGTTAACCCGGGAGCAGAGGGGCCCATCGGGCCCAAGGCAGCTCCGTCCCCTCACAGACCATGGACGTTACAGGGTGGTCATTCTGGGAGAACTCATCGGAAGCCACTTGAACATCCCAGGGCAGCCTGTACGTAGACAGACAGGCAGAGCCCACGGCTTTCACCTGGTTCTCATTTCTGTGGTTCTCCCTGGTAATTTAAGTTTACCAGCAAAATGGTGCCCGCAGGAGGTACACGTTAGCAAATGAAATTAAGTTTTAAGCACATTGGTAGAGATGTGCAAAAGACAACACTGAGATTCTACAAGAATATGAGAAGATACATTCTAGCAAATTGTGCAAGTGTGTAATTTATCTGTAGTCATTATTTTAAAAAGTAATGCCTTTTTTTAATATTTTTTTTCTAATCAGACTAAAGTAGGGCCATGTAAATTAAAATCCAGTATTATCTTTTTCATATGAAATTTGTGATAACCTTAAAGAGAATACAGTTCTGTGTCTTATACACTGAGCATAATCCACCCAGAACCGACTCTTGCTACCAGCATTTTTTTTCTGTCATATATGTTGAATAGCAGTTATCCACTAGTTCATGACTGTGTAAGGTGCCACGGCTGATGCTGGAGGATGGTCCTGGGTTGTGGAGGAGTTGCGGGGAGGGAGAAGAGAGAATTGTGCCATATTTTAGGGAAGGTTCCTCATTGCTACTTAAAACAACTGTAATCCCAAACTTTGTCCCCAGCTACAGCCCCTGTATGTGCCACCCCATGCACAATCATGTAACTTTTACTACTTAATGCTCTCTCTCCACATCTCTGCAGAGAGAAAAATAAAATAATAATAATAAAGAAAGAGTTTGAAAGAGCTATTTCAATGCTTCTAGCTCCTCTGGTTTTGCAAGGAAAAAAAAAAAAAAAAAGGAAAACGAAATCTGGTGTAGGTGGATGCTGAAGAATCAGAAACCAAGATACCATGAAAAGAATCACCCTCAGACAGAGCAGACAGCTGTGACAAATGATCAGATTGTGACTGTGGCCTAGAAATCCCCGCTCGTTCAGAAGGAAAATTCATATTCCTCACGTTTCCCGTTGAAGTCTGAACCCAAGAATGGCAATTTAAGTACGTTACAGAATCAGAAGCAAAGGTACTAACTACTGTAGCCAGTCCATAAGGATATAAAATTAAGGCCTATTTTTGATTTTTCCAAATTTTTTTCTATGATTTTTTTAGCCCTTATTATAAGCAGGCATGATGTTGATGATTTGTGGGTGCAATCAGACTATAAGGTGTATTTATCCCAAAGTTATCAAATTACATAATTTCAAATGACTGTCCAGGCCACAGCCATGGCCATGTGTGGCCTAAAATAGGTCTTCAAAGGCAGTAATGAAAAATGTTGGACCTTTTATTTTCAGTAAATGAAAATACATAGTTTTATTATATGAAACTGTTAATTTGGGCCCAGATTCTGAAGTGCTAGTGCCGTACTTACCATTTTGATAGAAACACCTTTCTGTGCAGTTCAGTGTCAATAAAATACGTTATTGCAAGTTGTTTGAAAAAAAATATGGCAGTGACTGGATCTCATAAATATCACAGTTAGTTGTGAATACTGGACAAAAATGATTCTATTGAGAATGCAAATAAAATCCTGAATGTTTTCCAAAGAACAGTGGTGTTTGGAAATAAAAATAAGAGGTCAACATTTAATGTTAACTGAATATGCATTTTCTATATTTTGCTGCAGTGATTTGAGAAAATATATCATTTGGACATATAATTTGGACTGAAATACCGGTTAAATTGAATGGCTTGAAAGCCATTTAATACTATACTCAAAAATTATTAACTTGCTGCATTTTAATGTGGAATGAGAAGTTCTTGTTCTTCCCTCTTTTATGCAATATAAACAGCACTTCTGAGGCATGACAGAGGCATTCATACAGGAATTCAAGGAATCTCCCTTGCAAAGGAGGAAACCCAAGAATAAAATACCACAAGTCAAGGAGAGTGTGATGAGTTCAACACCGGAGAAGCTGGTCCCCACTTGGAGTATTTTTCCTCCTCCTCCAAAATAAGAGGAAATTCAGGCAAGTAGGTGCAAATGAAAATAGTTACCAACACAAGTATCCAACCGAGTGTCTGAACAGCTTGTTGAGAGGCATCCCTGTGAAGGGATCCTGAGGAACGAGAGTGTCTACAGGCGGCAGCTCCGGCCCGGACACTACCTCAGCCTCTGGAGGGGTGTGGGGAAAACACACCCCATTAAGACACATAGTGTTCTCTATGCGTTGATTAACAACACAGCCTCTCGCAGCACTTCCTTTAAGTGCTGCTTTCTTTTTCTCGCTTGGTTTGAGAAAATATTTCCTGGTGCCTCGCTGAGAAGATTTACAAAGGGCATAAATGAGAATGAGAGGAAAATGTGTACCATCTTTTCAGATAATTGTAACCATTCTGCCTGTGATTCTAACATGAGAAGCAAGAACTAATCCAGAATTGAGTGCAAATGTTATTATAATAGCTTATTTCAGCATTGGTTTACTTCAAATGCATATACTAATGAATTTCCAGCGTAATTGGAAAAAAAAAGCTTGATCCTTGTCAGAACAGTTGCTCCTTCTTATTTTCTCTAGGAACAGGGTAAATACATAGGCTGATGTTAAAATCCTATGGCTCCAATGTTAAAATTGTTAAAATCCTATGGCTCCAATGTTAAATAGGCTCCAATGTTATTATAAAGGTCATTAGAAATTTCATTACTAACTCAGCTTGATCAAGATCACATGAAACATTCTCAAAAATAAACAGAGCTGAGACACAAAGAACTGCAACACCCACCAATACAATTCATTTACAAATGGAGATCTTTAGGACCACTTTGTAAATAAATTCTTACCATTACATGGAAAAAATGTATATTTACATATAGTCAAATAATTGTACCATAGGTTATGAGGTGTAGGGAAATAATGTATATTTACATATAGCCAAACAACTGTAGTATAGGTTATGAGGTCTAGGTGTCTTAAATACCTGATTTTTAATTTCACTTTTGTTTCTTTTTTCTTCTCTGTATTTCATGTGGGTCCATGAAAACATTTTTGATACTTTTGGGTTTTAAAAAATATTTTTTCTTCTCCCCTGTGAATTTGAAAGCTAACTCAAATGCACCATATTCACAGGGGTAACAGGGTATCAACATATTTTTTGAGCAAGTTGAAGCAGGACTCTCAATAAACATTTGAGGTAGAAAAAGTCTTTTGCTGAAACCACAACTTCTAAAATCATATGACTTCTCTGACTTGAGAACGAAAGTAACCGTGCACTTTCTGCTATTACCCAACAGTAGATTTTCTGATACATGACTTCCTCATTGTTAAATGGATACCAACAAGAAAAAATAGTTGACATAACAGACACTTTGAAGCCTTTCTATAAGATAGTAAAACAGCAAGATAGAACTACATGTTTGGGATCTCAGTCAAGTTATTCTGAGGAGTTGTGTTTGGTAATCCAGGTTTTGTTTGGTAATCCAGGTTTTAAGGGCTTTTACAACAGTAACCTGACTTAGAGTTTTCTTACACCCCAAATCTCTTTTTAAAAAAAAATCAGTTTAAGCTGAATGTGAAATAAATGTCTCCTTTTAAAATCTAAGAATGGACGTGGTAGTTGCAAAGTTCAAGGGCCATCAGAAGGGAAAAGAAAACCATGCCTATACAAAACGTTCCTACACTTTCACCAGGTGGCCTAGCTAACAGGCCTACAGACAGACATCCACAGTCACGTAGCCCAGGATCCGTTTCTCATCCCGTTGCCCACGTCCACATGCCTGTAGGTCGTGCTTAAGGAAGCACAGCCTTGCGCACAAGCATTCCTGCGGCACAAGGACATTCCTGCTTGCCTGCCTCCATGGCAGGCCGCCCTTGGCTGTATCTCTTGCTGCTGTCCCCTGCACCTCCTCCAGGACAACCCCTTCTTCCCCAAGTTCAGTAACCCAGGGCAGTTACTGTGCTTGCAAAGGAGTTTCCCATCAGACTGAGAAGCGCTCTGAGCCCAAAGCAAAAATTTGTTCTTGTATTTTGAACCTCCCTGGCCATATAAATATTTATTTGCCTTTCCTTCTATATACTAAGCAACTGTAGCCTGGAGATTAGAAGTGAAACCTGCACCCTAGAAACCGCATGCAGGAAGCAAGGACGGCACAGACCCAGAGACAAAGCAGAACCCAGCAGGAAGCAACCCAGAGTAACCCGAGCCCCTTCCAGCCGCATTAGGAGAGTGCACTCTGCACCATGAACGTGCCAACGAGATGACCATCACGTGCATCATCTGCCCGACGCTCATATCATCATCATCACGCTGCCCCAGCCACCCCCAGCACCTGAGATGGCGCCACCGATGTGACGCGCATGCTCACACAGATAAGGAAATGTATCAGGAGAGTAATATCCAAGGAGACTAACTGATGGGGATCTCACAGGTAGTGCTGTACACAACAGGCCGGGCCCCATGCCCAAGGCAAGGCCCGCGGGCGCGCGCGCCCGGTGAGGGGCTGGCAGGCCCGGCACCACCCGGCGGCCCATGGCGGAGGGCCCCAGCCCAGCGCCCGGGGCTCCGCACACGGTGGCACGACAAAATGACCCCCATCCGTGTGCAGCGTGCCCCAGTGCCCTTCGCCTGAGGCTTGGCGAGGCAGTTCATGAAACAGGCCTGCAAAGGAGTTGGCAATTGTGGCTCCCAGTCCTGTCTGTGAATTGTACTGTGGAAAAAACATTTTAATTCCATCTTACCACTTTTGCAGTCAGGCCCTTTCTCCCAGCTGGGCACCTTTTAAGCTAAACTTTTTATTATTATTTTATTTAATTAAGGGAAGCTTAGCTGCTTGTGTGGGAGAGCTCAGACCGCCTGTGGGGATTCGTGCTCCTGTGTGATGAGCACAGGGCTGCTAAGAGCACAGATATGCTACAGATAGGCACAGTGCAGTCCACATGCAGCTGCACGGGTGACACTGGATGACACTGGGTTGCTTGTCACTAGTGCAGGGGACTGCAGGTCACTAAGCTGCCTGAAGCCTCCCCCGGTGACCAAGGCGTACACTTGGGCAAGGCAGAGGGCCGGATCTATCCGCAGGGGGTGCTCCCTGTGACATTCCCTGACACGTCAAGCGGGAACAAAGGCCTTTCCTTTTCTCCTTTCCCCCATTCAGCGCGGATCTATAGCGCCGGTTCAGCCGCGGCCGCACAGCTAAGATGGCGCCGGGGCGCGGGCGCGCGCACGTGGGGCCGGCGGCGGGGGCGGCGGCGGGGGCGGCGAGGGCGCCTGCAGCGCCGCGCGGCACCGCCAGGGGGCGCCGCAGCGCGGCGCGGCGGGGGGCGGCGGGTCACGCGACACCCCCGCGCCAGCTGTTGTTGCTGGCAGGCTGAGGTCAGGCTGCGCCGAGGGGCGCTCTCATTGGCTGAGGGCGAGCGCCGCGGGCACTCCCATTGGCTTGCGGCCGAGCAGAGGCGGGGCGAGGACGTCTATAAAGAAGGCGGCGCGGCGGCCGCCGGTCACAGTTGGCGTTGAGGGCACCGCGCAGTAGAGTGAGGGATCGCCGACCTTCCAGCGCCGCCGGGACATGCTCGCAGCCTGACTGACCGCCCGGGACACGAATGAAGAAGCAGCTGCTCCTCCTGTTCACACACCGGGGACTCGTCAGCCGAGGGGGTCGCAGGGGGAAGCGCCGTCGAAAATGGCTTCGTTCCGCATCCGCGCCGCGCGGCCTGAGGATTGCCCCGACCTGCTGCGACTGATCAAGGTGGGCGTTGGGGGGGAGGGAGCGGCCGTTGGGCGCGGCGGTTGGGGGCGTCGTTCGGGGGGGGGGGGGGGGGGGGGGGGGGGGGGTGGGAGGGAGGGAGAGGGGAGGAGGAAGCGGGAGCACCTCAGCCCTTGCGTGCCATGAGCACAAACAAGCTCTTGCGCAAGGCTGCGGGCCGGCCTGCTCACACGCCGCTCTCTTCCAGGAACTAGCCAAGTACGAGGACATGGAGGACCAGGTGGTGTTAACCGAGAAAGGTACAGGCGCCACAGCTGCTCGCCGGGGTCGCAGCCCGCTGTGATGGGGCCCGCGGCCCCGGTGACAACTTGTTCTGCTTTTCCAGAGCTGCTCGAGGATGGCTTTGGCGAGCACCCGTTCTACCACTGTCTTGTTGCGGAAGTGCCCAAAGAGCAGTGGTCGTCTGAAGGTGAGGCCTTGTGCTGCTTTGTTTTGCTGCAGGATACGCAGGAGGTGCCTTGTGCTTAAGGTTGTCAGTTGTGCATAAGGTCCCGCCAGTGAACTGGGGCAGGAGAACTAGGTTAACTGTTAAAGTTGGAGTAATGTGCAATGATGTGCAGATGTGGGAAGGTCAGGAGTAATGTAATGTGCTTTAATTCCAGTTAATTAAATGGCTTTTCTTGTTTGACCCTAACTTACCTTATGTAATCCTGTTGAATCACATTTTTTCTTTAATTTGTCCCCAATCTTCAGGTTACAGTCTCTAGCTTCGCCATGTACATGGCCCTTCTGTGTACATGGATGAGCGGGGAGGTAACTAAAAGATCCGTTACACAATAAAGTAGATGATCATAATATGAGGTAAGGTCTACAGGGACAAGTGTTACTCCCAAACCTTTACCAAGAACGTATTCGATAAGAAATTAGTATGCACACTTCTCCTACAGTCTGTGCAGAGTAGTGCAACAGATACAGAGAGTTCTAATTTTCAAGACTTAGAAGCAAGCTGCTGCGGGGAGAGTTGGTTTTGCCTTCTGTTTTGAGCAATAGAAGTTGTGCTTGAAGCAGCAGCTTTCCTTACTCAAAGCAGACAAGTCTTCTGGTGCTAGAGACAGAGAAGGACATGAAGCTGTCAGTGGAAACAAAGGGCTGAAATGTTGCTGTAAATGTGGTCAGGGAGCCTACCTTGTTCAGGCAGTAATTGCTGAGGAACCTAAAGATCAGTGCTCTTTTTTGCTTGCTAAGGGAGCGATCCAGATTGTGAACTCTTGTATGAAATATGACTTGCATTCCAGAATGGAAATACTGATAAATTGGTAGGATGTTTGTAGAAGGAAGCCTTTTATGCTCCATACTTAGTGTAACACTGCTCATGAGGACTTCAGGGTATGAAGAGGGCCTTCTTGGTGCTGTTAGGTTGATAAAGCTTTGTCAGAGCTCATGTTGAGTTGTGTGTGTGTGTGTGTGTGTTTGCGAACTTCACTTTTAATTCTAACCTGCTAGTGAACAGCTGCATGTTACAGAAAGAGAGACCCTATATTTAATCCTGCATGTAAGACTTGAATTAATATTTTGTCTTTTAAATTCAGGCTAACTAAAGTGACACCCTTTGTTTCAGAACACAACGTTGTGGGCTTTGCCATGTACTATTTCACTTATGATCCATGGATTGGGAAACTGCTGTACCTTGAAGATTTCTATGTGATGGCAGAATACAGAGGTAGGTTTTATGGCAGTAGATAAAAGTAATTACAGGACTTGTCTAAAACTGAAGCTTACTCTCCTTTTTTGTTTCCTTTTAGGGCTTGGCATTGGGTCAGAAATTCTGAAGAACCTGAGTCAGGTATGTTTGTGTGATAAGACTAAAAGCAGACGTGAGCATAAAAGCTTCTCCTTAACTAGTACACTGAATTAAAGGAGATGATAGGACACTAGATACAGCCTCAGACTTTCTCTAGATTGTGTTGAGCAGCAACACTACTGAAGTGATGAGTGGTGTAAAAGCCCTTGACTGCACGCAGCTGGTTGCTGAGCAGCCCCACCGACGTGCAGCAGGAGGGTGAGGATTTGTGTTGCATTGGTGCAGGTGGCTGTCAAGTGCCGCTGCAGCAGCATGCACTTCCTTGTGGCCGAGTGGAACGAGCCCTCCATCAGCTTCTACAAGAGGAGAGGCGCCTCCGATCTGTCCACCGAGGAGGGCTGGCGGCTCTTCAAAATCGACAAGGAGTATCTCGTGAAGATGGCGACGGAAGAGTGAGAGGTTCCAGCAACGCAGTCCCTCCTGTGAATATCCCTGCTCTCTACGAATAAACTCCCTCTTGCTTTCTGTGCACAGATTGTAGTGGAATAAAGTAGCATGGGTGCTAATAATGAAAACGCTTTGCGGTTGGTAGAGTAATTGGTACTGTGGTCTGGAACCGAGGTGTCTGTCAAGTTGACAATGTGCTTGTATACATCCTTAACCAGTGTGGGCTTGTTAGCTTTGAAATGTATATGGAAACTTCATTCTTGTGAGTGTCATTCAAATGTGTACAATGTACACACTGGTAGGGTTTGTTTTAAGTATTTTCCTTTTATAAAAATAAATGTGTTTTCACTTCATGGCAGTAGTTTTGACTTTTGATTTTCATGTAGCTGCTTTCAGAAAGTTGGTACCTAAGGCCATAAGCCTAGTATTCCCCCGGCATGTCCTTCAGAAGCAAAGGGCTGTTTATCACTGTTTCCTAGAGCTGGTCCAGAGCTGCACGCCCTGGAGCTGAGCTCCCTCCTGCACCTCTCCCTGGGCTCCTGGGCTGGCTCCAGCTCTGCAGAGCACTGGGGCAGGGTGGGTGCCCCTCAGCAGGCTCTGCAGGGCTGCTATGCTCTGCTGCCTAGAGGAGGCCCCTGGGAAAGGAGCTGCTGTGGCTTCAAGATTGACCTCTGAGGAGCCTTGAGGGAGAGGCAGGAGCTTGAAGCAGGGAGAAGATTCCCAGGAACTATCAGGATCTTACAGCTAGTGCCCGGGAATAAGAAATAGAGGAAGGCTGGACAAAAGCAGGAGGTGCAGTGAATGTCGGTACTGTTGTCTGGGTGAGGGTGCTGGCTTGCACCTGGCTTCTGTCCCAGCTCGTGCTGCTCTCCCAGGTGAGGTTGTGTCTCCAGGCAGGTGCCTGGGCTTGTGCAGCAGGATGGCATGTGCTGCACACAGGAGGAGCTGGGGCTCGCACCCCTCCTGCCCCCAGCTGCGTTTCCCAGCGGGCAGGAGCCACGGTGCTGTGGGAGCAGGGCAGTTCCTCAGGGAAGCCACGTGCACCTGCAACCCAATGGGCTCAAGAAGGTGAGGCTGAGCCCTGCTGCTGGGCTCGGGCTCAAGAAGGTGAGGCTGAGCCCAGCTGCTGGGCTGTATGTTACTGAGCCTGCTGCCTGTACCGGCAGGATGAGCTGCCTTCCAGCACCTTTCCCTGCTGTCCGTGGCACTGACCTGCCCTGGGGTGGGAGCTTTGGCAGTGCGGGATGCACCTCCACGCAGCTACCGTGGTGGAGCGGGGCGAGCGCAGCAAGGCAGCCGTGCTGCTCACTGACGGGCAGGTCGGCTTCAGGGCCAATTGAAGCCAGCCCTTCTGGCACGGTGCATCAGGCCAGAAGGCGATTACTAGCAGAGCAGATTAAGGATGTTTTTATTTTCAAATTAACAGTTCATTAGATATCTAGGCCATAACTTACTCAAGCCTGAGACTGCTGGAGCACAATGAAGCTATCGCTGCTGCGTGATTGAATGGAACAAGCTAATTAGGCATTATAATTAGGAAAGTAAACAACTTAGTCAAATATTCAATCAGTTAAAAGTGCTTAGCCTGTCTTGTTCATCTGCTTCTGCCAATGCAGTTTACCATTACATTTATGTTTAATGAATGCTGCTGAAGCGCAAAGTTTCTCAAGGAACCTCCTAAAACAAATTTAGCCGTTATATGGACAGACCCCTCCAGCCATCTGTGCTCATTCTGAGCCCTTACACATGGAAGTAAAGACGACTGCTAACCTTTCAGACATGTGACTTGCACTGGCGTCCTGCTAAGCACAAGGGTTTTTAAAAACAACAGAAATATTGTCATGGCTATGACAACAAACTCTTCAACGGGGGGACGTGACCATGACACACGGATCAAGACAAAAACAGTCTTCACTTCCTTTAGTAAGTGAGAGGCTCTTTTCTTGAGAGACTTGCTCAAAATTAGCTGAAATGAGTGGGGTACCAGAGCGATGCTGTGCGTGTGATGAAGACTCCCAGCTGAGCGGTTTGTAGCTGCTTCGACACAGGGCCCGTGCGGCGGGGCTGGCGGAAGGGTCCTTCAGCTCCAGCATGGATCCTGACCACACGGCAAGGCCGTGCGCTGCTGGGCAAGCCAAGCCTGAGCAGGTCAGCGCCGTGAGGCCAGAGAGAAACGTTATTTGCTGGCTAGACTTCCTTGCCCTTCCTCATACGGGCATAAGCAAGAGCAGCCTAAGTAGGGTTCAGCAACACCAGCATACCCGGGGCTTGCTGGCGATGCAGTGACCCTGGTGCTCACGCTCAACCAGTGCAGTTGTTGATGGAAACTTTGTGTTTCCACCACAAAATCAGTCCTGAGATAACCAGCTATGCAGTACGCGCATCAGGCAGTGGCCCATTTGGGACAAGCTCTCCCCTCCACCAGCTTTGGAGCCCTTGTCCACCTCACATCATGCCCACGCAGCCGAGGGGCCACAGCCTCCAGCGTGGTGATGGCCAGGGACCGGTGCGAGGGCTGGCAAGCCGGGAGGTGACCGAGGTGCAAGGCTTGCAGCGTGGCAAACACAGAAGGAGCCCCGGGCTGCACACGCTGCGCTCTCCCACTTCATCGGCTCTGCTCAGCACCGCCTGCATGTGCCCGGGCCGGAGCTGGAACCGGCCCTTGCGACGGAGCCGAGGGCGTCTGCAGGGAGGCGCAACCATCCCCCTCGCCGTGCTCGCAGCCTCGCCGCCAGGGAGGCCTCCCTGCCATCCAGGCCTTTCCGGGCTCATTGCCCTCCAGGAGGCGGTGGCCTGGAGCAGGGCTGGCGTGCGGCCGGAGGCAGCGGAGACACTCGGAGAGGACGGGCTCTGCGCCCCCAATCCTGCTGCTGCTTCCCGGCTCCCATGCAGCAACTGCACCCATAGCAGCAGCCTAGGAGGTTGTGGGTTTTTTTTCCCCCCATCATAATCTGAGTCAAAACACGAAATAAGAGCAGAACACACCCATCCTCCCGCCCCCCTTTGCTTTAAAGAGCCTTTGCTCTCAACGGCATGCAAAGGTCAGCGCAAGCCCTCCCAGAAACGCGGGGTTTTCAGTGAATTCACACGCACTGAGTTTCGCCCCGGGAACGTTGCCAGGCTGGAGCCTGGCCAGTTAAAGGCCGTGGTGTCGCTGTCGCGGCGGCCGGGAAGACACCGGCCGCGCCGGGGGCCGGAGCTCAGGACGCGGCTGTGTGACCCCATGCGGCACAGCGCGGCTGCCCCGGAGCGGGCAGCGAGGACGGAAACAGGAGGGCAGCCGGCAAGAAGGAACAGCGAAACACTGAGGGGAGCGTGAAAGGCCGCGAAGCCGGACGCAGACACGCAGGGCCCCGCGTGTCTTCCCCCGCCACCACTCGTTCCGTGACACCTTTCCACGCGCGGCTTGTATCCGGCCTTCGGCCGGCGCCACCGCGCAGCACGAGGCCGCTAGCGCTCACCCTGTACTGGGACCACGACCAGGGGCCATGGGTCGAGCCCAGCGAAGGACGACCCGACAGGCCCAGCACGGGGAAGGGGCGCAGGGAGGCGGTGCAGGGCAGGGCTCCGGCTCTGGGGTGGGAATGTGGCACCAGCGAGGCTGGGCGGGAGCCTGACCGGCCTCGGGCTGCGGGAGCCTCCCCGCGCGCCCCGGAGCGGGAGCGGAGCCTGGTGCTGGCATCAAGCCCGGCCCTCCACCCGGCCCCGCGGGAGCAACAGCAGAAAGCAAAGCAGCCCCACGGCAGCTCCGGTTCCGTTTCGTGGATTTAGCGAGGCCAAAGCAAAGCAGGAAGGGCCGCAGGAGGTGAGGAGGCAACGCGAACGCCCGGCTGCAGGAGCTCCTCGGGACGCCACAGTTTTATTTGCATTTGGGCCTCTGCGTATTTCCATCGTTCACAAAGCAGGTGCAAAGCGACTGGGCTCAAGGAAAAAGGCATCTCTGTTTTCTTTAGCTCTGTTTTCTCTTTTTCTCCCCACAGAAACAGGCTAAAAAGAGCACTCTTTATTGGATGAAAACAGCAAAACTGGGCTTTGCAGCACAGCGTTACAGCCTCGCGTCTCTGAATCTCCTCCCAGAAGGTCACCATGTGCCAGGGGGAAGTGAAAGCCCCACTAAAACCCTACTCCACCCATGGCAAAAAAAGAAAAAAAGAAAAAGACAACAGATGCGAGATACTGGCTTTCCACGTGTGTTTCCAAGTTGCGATGCCTTCAGTGTTTTCAAAAGGGGCTGGTAGAAACGCAGGGCGAGATCTGTCAAAGTGACAACTGTACTTTGGCATCTGGCTACCATCTGCAAAGGTACCTTTGAACCATCGTCCTCTGATGACTCTTACCACAATCGAACATCTGAACGTCTGCAAGGACGCCCAGAACTTTCCCACTTGAACTGCGCCCATAACCGGCTCGGGAGCAACGCTACCTCGCTTCGGTGCGATGGGGAAGAACAAAAGGACTCGCAGTTTTCTAGACTTTTCCAGTCAATTTAGTACTGTAGAATTTCATACTTCCCCCACCAGCCAACCTCCCCCCATGGGCTACCACGGATTTACAGGAGCATTTCCCACCACACAGCCTGAGTATGTTTCTGCTGAAGTGCAGGCTCACGCGCCGTTTATCTTTTGCTCCCGAGCTTTTATGCTTCATTATGAACATGATGAACATGGTAGCACTGAGCCTGAATAGAGCACATATGGAAGAATATATTATAAAAATAGTTCACAATTTCCTTTTTTTTTTTTTTTTTAATACGTATTTGTTTTAAGAAGGTTTTTTGAAAGAGCGAGCTCTCTCCTTGCATGGTCATTGTATCCACAAGAGGAGATGCTCCAGGGGCCCCCCTGGACTTCCAGGGGACGGCATTTAGAGGTGGACTATCCAGCCAAACAGGGAATTGCTAGAGCATTTCAAAAGGCTTGAAATTTCTGTGTTTAAACTATTTGTTATTGTTTGATGGACCGACCTTAATGGGCACAGGCCTCACAGGTTGTGAGCAGATGAAGAACTTCTTTCCTGTGAGGGTGCCAGAGCCCTGGCACAGGCTGCTCAAGGAGGCTGTGGAGTCTCCTTCTCTGGAGATCTTCCAAACCCGCCTGGATGCCGCCCTGTGCCCCGTGCTCTGGGTGTCCCTGCTGGAGCAGGGGGTTGGACCAGATGGTCTCTAGAGGTCCCTTCCAACCTCAACCATTCTGGGATTCTGTGAGGGAAAACAATTGCCAATGCAGCTCACACGAATCCCCAAGCGCTGCACTGCTCCATCCCAAGCGGAGCGCCGTGCCGGGGAGCCCGCTGCCCCGTG